GCATTTAAATAAAAATGTCCGCCGCTTTTTTCCGGATTTTAGAAAAGCTGGAAAAGAGCGTCTACACTGGCCCCGATCCTCCGGAAAAAGCGCCCTTTTCCGGAGGATCTTATTCCTACTTTGAAGCGGCGGACATTTTTATTTAAATGCCGCGGGGGATATTAAATCCCCCACGGATTTCCCTATTACGATCTCTGAAATTAACATGCCCCTTTCGGAAAAGGGGCCAATGTAGACGAGCCCATGATGTTTTCAGTCTCTAATATCTGCAAAGTAATGTATCTGGTATAAGAAAGGTTGGACTATGGTTGAATGCCTGGAACCTGATGCTTATTTCACTTAAAGGGTTGAATTTTGTAACTTTAACTGAGTTACTCCTGATTTTTTGCAGATATAAGTGAGAAGAAAATGGAGTGTGAAAACAGAATAGTCTTGACCAGCTTAAAAAAAATAATACATTTTGCACAGCAGAAGCTCACAACTGCATAAAAACAATGCAGGAAGTAATAATAAAATGGGACATGCATTCTGCATTGTTCAGCTGTTTCCTGATCCTGTTAAAAACTCCAGCATATTAACCCCATCAACAGGAGGAAGATAAATATGTCCATTTAGAAAAAACAAACAAGTAACTAACTTAGATCAGGGCTACTCAACATTAGGGATTCCGGGGGCCACAATCATACTCACAGCACATGCCACAACTTTAGTGTGTGGTTGCATGTACAGGCAAATATATATGCAAATAGCATTTTTCACACTGATGGGCATGAATACAAAGATTAAGGCAAGACTACACAACACGCAGGACCCATTTAAGTCACTTCTGCTGATATTAATAATATGCAATAGTTGCCCTATTTCCACCCATATGACAGCACTTTTAATGAGCAATGACAGTTCAGGAATTTAACTACGAAAATGCATATCAGCAGAAAACTATTATGGAGCATGTTCCCAGTGGAGGCCATGTTCAACGGATCCCACCCGCGGGCCACGGGTTGAGCCCTGCGTAAACCCAAACTGCACCGCAGGCTGCAAACAAACAGGCCGTGGGCTGCATGCGGCCCATGGGCCATGTGTTGAGTAGCACTGACTTAGATTATGAAGGACAGTGACAGCGCTGTGAGATGGCAGGAACCTCATATGCCAGGAACCTCCTGGCTTAAATTTTTGTCACAAAACTGCCATGTTTGATCTCTACTTGAAGGCTAACAGCAGTGTTCTTTGATTAATTGGGACAGAGTAACTGACAGATTCCTAAGTAAATTATGATTTATTATTTGGATAATGATAGCATTAGAGAATCGGTGCCTATCATGTTGGACACTGTATAAGACACTATATATCTCATTGGCTCTTGATATATATAAATGACCAGCATTTAGGTTTTGCACTGTGCCTACTCTTGGAGAGCATGGGGTGTGCACCCATGAAAGAAAAGGGAGTAAAAAGTGACCCTAAAATAAAAGATATATGGACCAGTTAGGAGCCCCTTCTGTGACATATGAGCTTCCCTGCCACATCTAGAAAGATTATAAACTGTAAAGAAAACACATTTCATTGTACTTACTGAAAAGTCTTCATCAGGGAACAATATGAGATCTTTTAGAGGGTCATCCCCAATATTTTTTTCAATCTCTGTGATGACAGTTTCATAATCCAAAGGCTCCAAAAGTTTGGGTTTCTCCTGCTGTGCAATAAGAAAGCACAATATCATGTCTTGACTCATATTCACCATGCATTCATAAAATGAACTGTGTCTCCTTTTGCAATACTGTTTGGACGCCAAAGTATTATGTTTAGATACAGCACACGACCACTGAACTGAGAATACCCACAGCCGTACAGTATAAGTGACCCAGCCATCCCTTCATAATGTTAATTTTTAACCTGATAACCAAGATGACCTCATCACATTACCCCGTGGAATCATGATAATCCACTAATTATACTCAGAAACTGTCTTTAATATAAACCATTTGAACTGAATATGGACAATACTGTTTTCAGCTGCAGAATGAATGACCTATTTTAATTTCAATTGTTTCCATTAGCTGAATGCTGATTCACTCTCTTACTCTCCTGTGCTTTGCCACTTCTTAAATGCTGCTCAGTTGCTAGCAATAAAAGTACTGCACTGTTTTACTTGGCAGTGATCTAGTTCCTCTGTCAGGATAAACTATTTGGCACTCAGCCTCATAGTTTCTCCAGTCAGCAACTGGATTATTCCCTTGTAAACCACCATAATAGCGTTATTATTGCCCAACGGTGGGGTTGGTATAGAAAAATTCTCAGTGGAAACAGCCAAAGAGGTGAATTCATAGTACAAAAATAGAGATGGAAGAGTTCACACTCTGTGCAAGAAAGCACACCTTAAAAAAAAATTCACGTATCAGAGTGCAAGAAACTATCTGTCTTATTCTAATAATCTTTTTGTATGTATCCAAGAGACTAAGGGGAAGAGGAGAAAAGAAAATCACAGAGAGGAAGAGATAGTAAGGAGGAGTGAGAGAAAAGGACCTACTAGAAGATAGCACAGAAGCATGTAGTTTGCTCAAAGAAAGTTCATGCAACAAAGTGGTTGCCATTAAAATGTTGCCATTTACTCAGTTATCACACTATGCTATCTGAGGTACTGCAGTGTTTTCTTGCTTTCAGATCAGAATGTAATCAGGGAGGTCTCATAAAGGGACCCATCAAACATGTTTCTCCAACACTGCATTTATCACTTTGCGTCTATGGGTTTCTCTCTGTTCTTTGAACCTGCGTACCAGTCACAAAAAACAGGACTATGTAGCACTTTAAAGACTAACAAGATGGTTTATTACGTGATGAGCTTTCGTGGGCCAGACCCACTTCCTCAGATCAAATAGTGGAAGAAAATTGGCACAACCATATATACCAAAGGATACAATTTTAAAATAAATGAACACATATGAAAAGGACAAATCAAATTTCAGAACAGAAGGGCAGTGGGGGCGGCGGCGGTAAATGTCTGTGAGTTAATGATATTAGAGGTGATAATTGGGGAAGCTATCTTTGTAATGGGTAAGATAATTAATGTCTTTGTTTAAGCTTAGGTGTAAAGTGTCGAATTTAAGCATGAATGACAGTTCAGAGGATTCTCTTTCAAGTGTAGTCTTAAAAGGTTATCCCAGAAGTTCTTCCTCAGCTCCCAGCTGCACCTCCCCCACCCCCATTTGTTAAATTAGATTCTTCACCTGCTTCCAGAAATATCCCCAGAAAACTCAACTATATAACAATAGCACACTGTACCAAAGCCACCACAACACTCGGATCTCTTTGTACCCTCGCAGAGAACTAAATTATTGAATGGTTAGTAGTGGAAACCGAAAGTTAGTTGAATTTTCACTTTTTTGTTGCTGTTCAAGTAGTTGTCTATGAACCGTAATGCCCACTGGCTTTGGAAGGAAAGAGCTATCTGTAGCAACAGCATTCAGCGTTCACCAGGCAAGAGCAGCATCTGCTTCTGCTAAATCTTTTTCTCTCTGAGCATTTGATGTAGCCCAAGAAAAAGGATCCCTGAATGTTGTTGCAGCTGGGACCCTAAGGCATTTTATAAGGAAAGAAAACAAGACTTTATCTACTTTGGCAAAGGGATATGATTTTTTTTTTACCTTTTTTCAAAATTGCCAGGCCACTCATGAGAAATCTGAATGCAATAAGTGCTTTATTAAGTATTTGGCTTTGGCTCCAATGTCACATCCAAATTATGCTAAACTCTCTCTTCAATGGGCTAGGGCAGGAGTAAAATCTTGGTAGGTAAATTTCCTGATTGAGATGAAAGGAAGACTGTCATGGGAATAAACCCTAGTAAAGGTCTGTGAACTGCTTTACAGGAAAGGGAAACTATCTTTAACTCCCCTGGCCAAAGGCTCTTTTAAGCCATGTGGCCCAAAACATGGAGTCTAAGTGAAAATTGGTTTTAGGCTATGCAGGGGGAAATGCAGGGGGAAAGTTTTATAACTAAATTTAGAGTCCATGGAAGGACTAGAAATGTTAATTTTAGGTAAGACATTTGACAAAGCATAGCACTTCAGTGTCAAGCTGTTCATTTTCCTTTGGACTGTCGCAAAGGCAGAAATTTAGCCCTGGAGTGTATTACCTGGCAACACAAAACCCGCCTCTGTTAAAAGAACTCCAAGATCCAAGTGATATTAGCTGCCTTGGTGTGATGTTTCTGTCTGCACACATCAGTCATGCACATGGAGGCTTTGGAAGTGGCTGGACAGAGAATTGGCTGGCAGAGGTAGTACAGATGCACAGGGAGAAAAAGCAAATGACCTGTGCAGCTGTAGTACCTCTGCCAGCTAATTCTCTGTCCAGTCACTAATCTCTCCTCTCCTGGCAAAGCAAAGCACGTAACTTTCTCTTAGATGCTTTCAACTACTGCTCTGTAAGGTTGTGATTCACCCACTGACATCAACAAGTCACATTGTATATCAAGCCCCAAATCTCTTCTGATGCCATAGCTTCTCACACCCAAACATCAACAACTAATTTTAAAATATCTCTTTGTCAGATGGCTTGTTGATCACATCCTGGCATCAGCCACAGCAGCAAACCTGGCTCCCACTGCCATCTCACCACTGATAGCTATCTGAGAGCTCTTTCAGGTTATGCTAGCTCACCTCCACATCCGTAGTAACAACCCCGCATATTCAACAATCACACGTCACCCTCTCCTAAATTTGGACTTATTTATGCGTTATTTTAAAATCTGTTCTTCTTTTAGGACATTCATGATGAGAGTTGGCAACAATGGCTCTTCACCACAGTGTGCAGAGTTATTTTGTAAGTTACAATTCATGAAACTATAGGGACAAATTTTCCAATATTTAAATCACTGCGAAAGAGCCAGTATACAGCTGGGGGATTATGCATAAGCGCTGGGTTGAAGGTTTTTTGGCACAGATTTTCAATTTTTATCATACACACCTCAACTGCGAAAGAGCCAGTATACAGCTGGGTGATTATGCATAAGTGCTGGGTTGGAGGTTTTTTGGCACAGAGTTTTCAATTTTTATCATACACACCTCCATCCCCCTTTTTTAAAAACTGATTTAAGACATCCAAAATATAAAGAAGGTTTAATCAATAGTGATGACTAAAAAAGGATAGCCAAAGTAAAAATGCCATCTGAATTATGATGGAGAAATGTCTGAAGCACATATTATTTTTAAACTATATGCTTTTGCCTAAATCGTTAAATGAATAGCCAACAGGCTTTTCTATGCTATCAATGCACAGAGATGAGCAAGGTAATTCCACAGATGTCTGAGCAGTCTTTATGCTATCATGTGCCGAAAGTGTCTGTCTGCTATGTACATTGGACAAACATCTCAGACACTTCGCCAAAGGATTAATGCCCACAAAACAGATATTAGACAAGATCACAAAGAAAAAACAGTTTCTTGCCATTTTAACCAGAAAGGACACTCTCTCAATGACTTAACCACCTGCATTCTGCTACAAAGACCTTTTACATCTGCACTTGAAAGGGAATCCTCTGAACTGTCATTCATGTTAAAATTCGACACTCTCCAAAAAGGAATGAACAAACACTCAGGCTATCTTACCCATTACAAAGATAGCTTCCCCAATTATCACCTCTAATACCATTAACTCACAAACATCCCACTCTCCCCACCTCTAATATCATCAATTCACAGACACTTACCTTCCTTCCTCCCCCCCCCCTGCATCCCCCTCCTGTTCTGAAATGTGATTTGTCCTTTTCATATGTGTTCATTTTTTTTAATTGTATCCTTTGGTATATATGGTTGTGACTATTTTCTTCCACTATTTGATCTGAGGAAGTGGGTCTGGCCCACGAAAGCTCATCATCTAATAAACCATCTTGTTAGTCTTTAAAGTGCTACATTGTCCTGCATTTTGCTTCAAACCTTACTGTGCTTTGCAATAATCCCCAGTTCTCTATCCAGCTAGAAAGCACTCTGACTTTGGGAAGCTACAGAGCATCTGGAAATCCCTGTGAGTTTAGAAACGGATTATGATGTCCCTTAAAAGTGGAGACTCGAACTCACAGGGATTACACACTGGAGCTACTCTGCAGCTTGAGGAGAGGAATGGAAATGCCATATTGGTCCTTCCTTCCTCCTCAGAAATGGAAAAGTGTTCAGACTAAAAGATCTTCTCATGATAGAATCCTTGAGCACCTTCATAATCATTGTTCCAAATTGCACGTCTCTTTGCTCTGACAGCCATTATTTCAAATTAACTTTAATAGCGTCTATACATGCAAACAGCTATTTCAAAATTAATTCGAAACAGTGGAGAGCTTAATTCGAATTTGCTAAACCTCATTCTATGAGGAGTAACGCCAAATTCGAAATAGCTATTTCAAATTAAGTGCTGCGTAGACACTTAATTTGAAATAGGGGGCCTCCAGCCCTTTCCAGGGAGCCCTGGTGGCCACTCTGGGCACAACCAGGAAAATTTACTCTCCTCTCCCCCACCCCGGAGCCATTAAAGGGGTAGAGTCTGGCCACAGTGCCTGGGCCAGCTCCAAGTCTGCCAGCCCAGAGCCAGCAGTGGCCACCAAGGCCCCTGACCCAGTGGCCCCAAAACATGAGCCAGCAAGTCACTGGCAGCCAGCCCTCCACCGCTCC